TATCACGCAGTGACTTCAACCACCGGTTACCATGATCTCGGGGTCCCCATCCAGGTAGCCTAAAGGAACCGACGTGACCCAGTATCCTGGTTTATTTCTTACGCTCATGCCAGGCTTGACCGCCCTCGGTTTTTTTCCAACCGCTACCTGCCTGGGCAAATATCGTTCGCCGTGGCAACCTGTTTGGTGATATGCGTAATACGTGCCCCAACCAGCTTTATCTGTGGAGGTCGACTACCTGCCCCAGTGGACGACCGCGACTGTCTAAGACTCTACGCCTAAATTCAACATTGCTAGTCCGCTTACCCCACCAGACTTGTGCAATGTGACGTAGACAGCGGTGTTCGAACACCGACAATCTTTTTATCCTGTTCCCGTAGTGGTGAAGTCTCTGCACCGTATGGCAGGACTGGTCGACCCTTCACAGACAGTCGGATGTCGCGACGATGCCACATATCTCTAGTTGGAAAATGCCAACCGAGCCTTCTGTAAGCCTGTCGACACTTCATCTGCGACTCATCCGCCGATCGAGATATAACGGCCCAGAAAGCAAAATATGTCTACTTTCTCTACTATCTCCCCAGTCACGGTGAGGTTGGGGGTTGGGCCAAACCAATCTTGTAGCAACACTTGAAAGTGGAAAAACGCATATGGAACATGGCTACACTAGCACTCCAACTATGCAGAAAAGCTTGCAACTTACCTGGATCCTTACCTAGTAGCACAATGCCGTCTGCACACTCCAGATCAGGCAGTATGCCACCCAGGAGTAAATGGATAGGGAATTCGGGCGAAAAGTGCCTTAACCCCGAACTCGGCTTCAGTTATTAGTATATAGGCATTGTAATGTTGAAATAAACTCCTCGGACACACCCTTTAGAGCGAGGCAGCTCCAGAGTTTAGAACAGTCGACTGATTCGAAAGCCGCTTTCAAATCGAGGAAGATAGCAATGGTGGGTTCGCGAAAAGAGTGCCTGTGTTCTGCCAAGTGTTTACTCTTGTCCCCTGAGCCGTGAGCGCCTCCCTTCCCTGAGACGTAGCATGATTCGCTAAACTTAAGAGTTTGATGCAGGTGTCTGTAGCGTCATCTGTCTTTGGCATTGGTTTACATTGAGGTTTTCCCTAGCTATTCTTCTCTGGAGCCATCATGTAAAAAAATAACAGAACTTTAGACTTCGACAGAGTAGTTGCTTGTTTATGTTCATCAGTGCCGTACCAATCATCATCGTCATCATCATCATTGTATAGCGTAATACAGTAAAGCGAAGTTCACTGATCGCTGCCAAATTCATAATGCATACAAGATAAATGAGAACCTGTAAGAGGGACTGATTGGAACTGTTTTTAGGGACGGGAAAGAAAGCAAACCTCTATGGTCAACACACAGAGTATACAGTCCAACTGTGCATACATACTATTCCAAGCATTCTGGTCTGATAAGAAGTGACAGCATGATCGCCATTGCTGTCGGTTCGCAGCCATGACCTTCAGTGTCTCCAACCATGCGGTTTCGGAGTCTTTTGGACCCCAATCCAGAAGACGAGAGACACATACCCTACCTAATCACTCTGTGCATTTCTTCATGCCTCGCCTCCACGTCATCTGCTGGCCTCTACGTGGCTTTCTCCAGCCTGTAACAGCCACTGCAAATAAAACGTGCTGTGGTAGGCGACCGTCGGACATACGCAAAATGTGTTCTAACCAACGGAGCGTACTAAGCTAGATTCGATGAGTTCTTGTTTGATGTATTCTCAAACACCCGACGACTTACTTCTAAGTTACTAACCCACTCACTCCTCCCAACCTGGGCCAGACTACGTAGGCATCGATTGTCGAACACTGCTAAACGACGGATGTATTCTACCCGCAAATTGAAGGTCTCACAACCGTAACTTGGAACTGGTCGTATACGCAACTTTTCAAGTTTAGTGACAAGTCACGTCGCCGCCACAGGTGTTTTAGTCCTGCGTACGCTGCTCGAGCCTTGGAAATGCGGGCGGTTGTCTCCTTCGATGCGTTACCGTCTTTGGTCACGCAGCTACCTAAGCACGAGAAGCAGTCAATTTCAGCTAATTCCTGACCGTCTAGTTTCAGAACAGAACTCACGACACCCATTCTTGTGGCATCACTTTGCAAATTGAAGGTGCAAAGCACATGCCGAACGGAGCGACATAATTTGCTAATCTGTCAAGTGCTCTTTGCGCATCCTCCATACATTCGAACAAGCAAACGATGTCGTCAGCGTACTCCAAATCGCACAGGTTTTCTTTAGCTGCCCATTGGAGACTACTCAGTGTGTTCTCCAGTATTTGGGCTATGACGATAATGAAGAGAAATGGCGAAATAGGGCACCCTTGACGAAGACCGCTGCTAATTATGAACGACCTACTCAGCTCGCCGTAGACCGTTACGCTACCAGAAGTATGTGAGTTGAGTGAACTCATGTTCACCTAATTCTGCGGTATTCCTTTGCGAAGAAGCGAACCCATAAGGAATTCGCGGTCAACTGAGTCGAAGGCTCCTTTGAGGTCGAGGTACACGACAACCGTTGGTCGACGGTGCAGATGGCGTAGCTCGAGGACGCAGAGTGAAGATTTGGTCGATACAATCGCGATCTGTTCGAAATCCTGCTTGTTGTTCGCGGATGTTTGTCTCCCTAAACGGCGTCAGACGTCGAAGTATAATGGAGGCTAGTAACTTGGCGACGATTGGGATCAAACTTATTCCACGGTGGTTTGCGCAGTCATTGCGAGATCCCTTCTTAACAATTGGAACAATCAGTGATTCGCCCCAGGATGATAGAATGCGCTCGTGTAACCAGATGTCACGCATCACATCAGTAATGAAGCCTACAAGGTCATTGCCCCCTATCTTGAAAAGAGTGAGAAAAAGCCCGTCCAGCCCTGCTGCTTTTCCTTTCTTCAGGGCTTGGATGCAAGAATGAACTTCTGCTGTAGTAGGGGGTTCAGATGACACTGTTCACGGAGCCTCAGCTACATCTGAGGAAATAGCGTGGTTAGCGCCTGGCCAGCTGAACTGTTCGTTGAAGTGCTGCGTCCACCGGTCAAGCCGTTGTTCCCTATTGTGAATAGCTTGCCCACTTTTTTCGCAGATTGTTTCACTAACTGTGGTTCGCCGTCCTCCCGTATTGCGTATCAGTTGAACAGTCTTTGACTATTCCCTGAAGCAGCTGCTACTTCCATTTCACTGGTTATCGTTGCCCACCAGTTCTCACAGTGTTTCTTGAGGCTCCTCGTGAGTTGACGTTGTAGACGCCACCTTCCCCTGCCTTGATACCGGGTGGTTGGAATTTGCCGCTTTTTCTCAGTGCGACTGACTCATCAGATATCTAATACCTCGGGCGGGCTACAGCTTCAGATGCATGAGCAATGTTGGCTGCGGAGTACATTGCTCGGTTAATCTGATCCCATTGTTCATTTACACTACCATTCCGCAGTGCGTTTAGCTCTTGCCCTAGTTCTGATTCTGCCAGTCGAGTTTGGTGGGGTTTTCTGCGACCAGTGAGCTGGAGAGTGAACTGCATTAAAACTAACGCATGATCAGATTCAACACAGGCGGCCCAATAGGACTTGCAGTTTTGTTCTGAGCCACGCCAACTGTAGCTTACTGCTATGTGGTCGATCTGAGTTGGCGTGCCAGTTAAATTTGAGCGCCACGTTGCTGTCCGTTGAGAGCGGTGTCGGAAGTTGGTGCTGGATAGGAACAAATGGTGATCTGCGCAGAACTGAAGAAGTCGGTCGCCATTATCTGCTTGCTGGCAGGGCAGAGCACAATGACCGCCTAGGCAAACTTCCGGTGCACTTAGATTTCCAACTTGAGCGTTAAAATCACCTGAGAGAATAACTATATCAGAGCTTCGGCTCAACCAAATGAGTTCGGTGAGTTTATCATAAAACTCGTCGTTTTGTGGGTCAAAACTGCAGTTGGTCGGTGCATACGCTGAAATGACGAATGTTTATTCGTTTATTGGTGTTGCTTCCCTTCCGGATGCTGATAGACCCTTGGAGCCGCATCGCACATAAGCGGCTGTTGACGGGGATCCAATCAAGTAGTGTGGCTTCAGCTGCATTATTGAGTACAATGCCCATACCACGCTGGCCTACTGAACGGGCTTCGTCATCATTTGACGTGCGGAAGAAGAACCTCGAAGACAACTGCGGTGCACTTCAGTGGCGTATAGTACTAGGATCCTGGATTCGAGTCTCCGACACGCAGCAGACATCAATCCCTAAAGATTCCATTGTACGCGCCAGACACGCTTGTTGACCTACCTGCATCAGAGTCCTTACGTTGAAGGCCTCCAGATTCAGTGACTGATGAGGCTTCAGAATCTGCAATCTTTTTTGAGATAAACTACTTACCGGGTTACTTGGCAACGAACTTTGGCGAGTGACGAACAAATTGTCTGAGGGAATGTTACGAGTTGGAAGAAGGGGTAATGGGGAGGGTTGGTTACGGAAGACAGAGTTAAACAAAGGTTGGGATATCTGAGTAATAGCCCACTCATCACTACCCACCCCGCTCGATGCATTGAGCAGCGCGGTCCTGATTATCCTAGGCGACGACCGATGCAGTATGGAATTATTTTTTGGTTGTGTGCATTTGAGTTTGATGGACGGGTTCTGCCAGGGTGTCCAGCTACTAAGCAGGAGAACGATTAGGGTTCTCGTCCAAAGCCTTAAGTTCTGACAAGAACCTGACCTCAAGGCAGCGAATCAATTACTCCCCAACCATTTTACCGACTGATATGCCAAATCAAGTGAACCTCCAGCCTGGAGAACCAGGAGACTGGACTTTGTCTGACCTCTACCCATTGACGTTCCAGGCATGATATGATCTCCTGGCTTGACAAAAGCCATCCTGTGTATCTCGTTCGGTCACAGAGGTGCACAAGTTATCACACCACATCAAGGTGCAGTCTCGTCGTAGCAACAGGTACTTCAGCTGTGGTCTCTTGACAATTTTCATCGGTTTGTCTCATGTTGGGTGTCCACGTGGAACTAACAACTGCTCATGGTAAGCGTCGATTTCAAAAGCTCATTGCGACTACACTGATTCTTTTGCTCTTTAAATGCACGACAGCATGGTCAATTTACAGACGGTAACTCCCAGTAATCAGAGGTCATTCAGTGTATGGAAGAGAATTAGGTGGCAGTGATAAACTTTTTAATGGACGATTTACCAACTGATAGGATGGTGACTTGATAATTGCACTAAGCTCCAGAAATAAGAAACTCGTTTTGACGATTGATAAACATCTCATTCGATTGCCAAGATTGCTACCATAACATTGTGGTCCTTTTTACTGTCAGAACCCAGACAAACCTGGAGAGAAACCTCACATGCAAGACTACAAAGTCGATTTGAACGAATGTGGTCCCATGGTTCTTGACGCACTGATCAAAATAAAAAATGAACAAGACCCGACGCTCACATTCCGACGTTCTTGTCGCGAGGGCATCTGTGGTTCGTGCGCCATGAATATCGGTGGGCGGAATCACTTGGCATGCATTTGGTACGTTTTCAAAGCGCCGCCTTTCAAACATCTTCCCTGCCTTTTCGGTTGTTTCTCTTGGTCTTCTTCGGTGCATTGCCAAATTATTTTTCACATGTTTTCTGATGACTAATATCGCAAGACGTTGTGTAACGCTTTAATCTCAATAGTTTATGCCTTGCCTCTAGTACGTAACTGTTCGAGGGCAAAAAATACACCGAACAGCTTTATCGTTGCTTGAGACAGCATATCCAGATTGTCATTTTAAAGCACGTAGCACTGAAAGTTCCATAGATTATGTCCCAAACGATTGCCCTTTGTTTTATCGAGTGCAATATCTTTTGTATGTATATTTCACCTGTGTTTCGTCTTCGTCCTCCTCTTCATCGTACAGGTGTCTGATTCCCAACCATGTGCTAAACAAACCATGGTAGAAGAATCTACATAATAAAGATAAAAGTCCGTGATTTTTAAATGGGTGGAATGGTACTGGGTCACAGGCGATTTTCTTTGATGAATTCACATCTATAGCCTTGAACTAGTCAAAATCTAACCATCAAGACAGCGGGGCGGTGTGTGAAAACCGGGACCGGTGTCCAGTTAATCGAATCATACGCCCCCATAAACGAGGTCAGACGTTCAATATTCCCAATACCAATGACCGATAGAGCCGGTGACCATTGAAATGTGTAGTTCGTACACCTATCGCTGGTTAGTTTAAAATCAAGGGGTTTCCCCAAATCCTCCAGGTAAACTGCTAGTGATTCACCGATCTGGTTATAGCCCCGGGTGTTGAATTTTCGTCCTCTCACTTCGGTGGGAAAGCACCTCCGCCGTAAGAAGATAGAGGCTATTTAATAATTTGTTCAATTAACACATTACGAGAACTGATCTTGTATTAAAAGGTTTTTTTTGGCTTTCAATTGAAAGCTTTTGCGACAACCTCTCGATTCATCTTCCGAGACGAATTCTACTACCGTCCTAAGTGATTTCAAAGTAGTCCTATTGAGTTAATTGGTTCAGCGCTTATAGACTTTTCTGCAGTTGGTATCAGCATCAAAACTTTCAGGTGAAAGAATCCAGTTCACAGTTTGTCGGAGTAATTATCACGAGGCCGGATCTCAGCATCGTACCAATTTAGGAGGAGTCAGTGTTGTTACACAGGCCTTTTTCGACAAATAATAACGGTACGAAGACTGAATTGTAAAAAAGTGATACTTGGTAAAAGCGGCGCGAATTGATGTCACAACAATCCTCATTTTTATTCAAATCGCAAATAATACTCCTGTTGCCATTTAGTAAAAATGCGCCAGCAACATGGAGCATTCTCCAGCAAACTTGTCATTATCGAGAGCCATAGTCTTCAGAAATGCGTATCTGAATCACGTGATCACTTCCTCTCGTAGATGACCCTGAATGTGTTTATATTCATTGGTCTCAATTTTGCCAGGCTGCTTGATGGTAAGCCTATGATCTCAACTTATAATAATCCTCAGCTGTTTAACTAACAAGAGGTAATTTCTGTATACCCTCTGGTGACTTTACATATGCCTGCCTCAGTTCAGTTTCAGTTTTTACAAATATGCCTGCCTATCGTGTACCTTTCCATGCTCTTTGCACGTGCTAGGCAAAGCGCGAAGAATCGTCGCGTTGGTCCGAACATGACCTGAGACGAGGGTATAAGAAAGTTAGTTTTAACATTTTCGGTTGGTACCTTTGAGTTTTGGTCTGGGAAACGCGGATGGCCGTTGGTTGGATACGCTGAGAGATATAGCTCAATATAAGAGCCAGTGACCCGAATGCTGTCTGTTCGGTAAGATTCTATGCCACGTCAAATAAAAAACAAACGCAAGAGAAATGAACAATGTACGATGAAACAAACCAAAAACATAGTCGTTCTCGTTTTGTATTTATTCCTCTAAATTTGGTCATTTACGAGATACATCTTACTGTGTACTTTTCGGCATTTTATCGAATTTCGCTTCATATTTAAATAAGAGTATACCTAAGCCATGGTGTTTATAATTGAAATATTTTTTATCATATCTGCATATGGAATTGTTTCGTTGACCTGTGCCTGTACGGTTTCATGTGCCACAGTTTTCGTGATACTCGTTAGTGAACTCACCCGTATTAATTCATCGTGCTTCACATTATTTTTAACTATTTCCTTTTGAATACAGGGAGATTGATACTAATTTGAGCAAGCCAACGAAAATTTACCCGCTTCCTCATATGTTTGTCATAAAAGATTTGGTACCTGATATGAACAACTTCTATGCTCAATACCGTTCGATCGAGCCCTATTTGAAAAAGAAGAACATGTCGGAAGCTGATATTGGTAAAGCCACTTTTTACCAGTCAGTGGAAGACCGAGCCAAACTCGATGGTCTTTACGAATGTATCTTGTGTGCTTGCTGTGCGACCTCGTGTCCATCGTATTGGTGGAATGGAGACAAATACCTGGGGCCTGCTGTGCTTCTCCAGGCTTACCGGTACGTTCATTCCCTCACTCGGTCCTAACCTGTCTGATTTGATTTGTGCCCGCGGATTATTGCGTTGTTTGCATGTTGCCAGACAGCCTGAATTGTGCAACAACCAGTGGCGTCCTGAGGTCACCGAATTTCGTTTGTTTCTCTTCATTGGTACGACGTTTGATGAACAGTCAACATTCAGCGATTTTGACTCAAGAGGCTTCATGCATCATAGAAGGAGTTCCCCACTTATCAAATTTTGATTGCATTTTACTCAAGCAACACGATATTTGAGTTAAATGGAGATACGGAGCTCTGTTTGTTTAAATATCTTGTGGTGATAGGATATGCGAGTCTGTTTGGTCCGACAATCCATCCATGCGCATTGACCTTGTTCATTAATAGCTAATTTATGCTTGTGTAGTGGTATTGCGTCAACGGAGGATAGCAATAATAAACTCATTTGTTACTTTTCACAGTTGCTGTTGCTTCGGTGTGGCGAAGCATAGGATAGTGATCGATCATCTATTGTAAAATAAAGTAAAGTGTGATTTTGGTACGAAGCGAGAGCAGGGATTTCCTGTGAGAACTTTCAACAATGTCGCCTAACATAAAGAAAACGGTTTCGTTTTGTGCTGTTTTGCTCTTTTAAATCAGATTGATAATACCAGTTTTCTAACCCCATCGACCAGTAAATGAAGTTGCTTCTTGGATAGCGTCTATCCATTTTCAAGTTGACTGTGGCTATCCTCTGACAGTCCTGGACTGTCCAGTGAAACTAGACATCCCGCATATCTTACCGGGAAACCGTATCTTCTTATGGTGGTTAGTTTGTGTAGACTTTTCTCATGATGAAGTAGATCAAACAAAAGGCAGCTATGACCCACCGACTGGCTTGATTGGATCTTTGGCTTAGAAACAAGATCACAAAAGCACTCAGTCCAACACCCCACCAGGATGTGGTCGTATGCCGATGGCACAATCCTGGTAGCATTGTGGGGTTACCGACAACTCACCGAAGTGTAGTTTTAATGTTTTGTGTGTGTATGGGTGAGTGCGCTTTAAAAAAACAAAACTTAGTACTCGTTTCTGGCATCTTGTTGAAAATATTCTATTCAAGCGTGTTTATTTTTGTTCACTCAGGTGGTTGATCGATTCGCGTGACGACTATACCTACGAAAGGTTGACCCAATTCCAAAACAAATGGTCCTTGTACCGGTGTCATACTATTATGAATTGCACGGAGACTTGTCCCAAGGTCAGTTTGTATGCTACGGTGAACTAGTCGATCATAAAACTCATCCTAATGTCCGTCGGATGTACTAAGCAGTTCCCGAAAGTTAGATTAGCTTCGTATTAGTAATGATGATGAATGCTGAGAAAAATCGTCGCTGTAGTTGGCTCCGCCAGTGACGTATTTGGATTGGAATATCAAACATGACTCTATAAGTGCGCGGATCTAAAGCACGGTTAACGGATGTTTTCACTTCTATAGTACGTGGTGAAATATATTACGGTGACTGACACTTGGNACTTGGTGTTGAGTTGGTTTTACGGCAGTTTGCGTGGCCTGTTTTTCAGTATCAAATTGACTGGTTTCTTCACTGCTTAGTTGTGTTCTTCGTGGTAGGAAATGAGTTTTCGCATTTACCATCAATTTTTCTATGAATCAAGGTAAGCACATATTACTCCATCTTTTACCGCAGCTCCGGTCCAGGAATCTGTCAAAAATTCCTAGTTCATACTTCGCCTACAGCTGCATGTGATCACAACAAGCCAGTTGGCAGGCGAGATAAACATGAGGTTTGCAACTCCGTGCTGTTTGTACCGGCTGCAGCAGGAAACCATATGTTTTTACGCGTGTTGTTCACTAACCCGACACCTTCAATATGGGGTGGAATAACTATACGTGCAGTAATTTTTTTCTACTGGTTTCCTTTTCCCTTTCATTTCCACTACCTGCGATCAGCAATCAAATTAGGTTAAATATTTTTATTATATACATTTGCGTGGTGAACAGCAGATGGGGCGACCCCCT